AATTTGATGGGTCTACATACAGAAATGAGACAAGTTTAGATATGATCAGTCACATTTGGAACAGCCTCAGCAATAGGCCTTTTCTGAGATTATAGCAGTTTGCATTGCATTGTGGTCTAGCTTCAGTACAAACATCTTTTGTTCATGCTGCCAAATATGGTGTTGTTTGAACTGAAGCTAGACCACAATGCACCCTGATGTATTTCAGAAAAGGTCTATGACATTGCTTTCTGTTCAGACGTTGATTGTGAATGTGTGTCAAAGCTGATGGCAGGATAGGCGATAACGTACAACCATGCAATTCCATTTAAGATAAAAAGATTCAAATAGAAAATATTTGAAGGCACACTGATAAACCATAAGTCTGTACAAGTTCCCTCTCTGTTGATATTTTGAGTGACAAACTAAAAAATCAAGGAGAGAATACTACAACGTGTGGAATCAGTCTAATCTGCTGACTTTTAAAGGGACATGGTCCACCAGCATTCAATGCGGTCGTGTTTTAGATTTTTCATAATGGAAAATGAGGTGACTTCAAATATTCATTTCAAATCTGTTTCCATCCATCGGTTAAAGGTCTAATCCTACAGTATCTCCATTCATATAGCATAAACGGACAATAAAAAGTAAGTTTTTGCTTATATTACAAATGTATTTTTATTTTCAAACATGAGCAAAGAGCTCAAAAGGAATGCTGGTGGACCATGTCCCTTTAATGGMACTTTACAGACTCTTTTCAGAGGTTGAAAAAGAGTAGAAGAAGAGGGAAAATGTTGCAAAATCCTAGAGAGCAACCATTTTGGAGAAATCCTCACCTTACGGAGTTCCATAGTTTTGTGTTCCACAGTAAGTAGGGCAAAGTGTGAAAGTACCACACATAGAACTGATAATGTARTGACCTAGAAAATGCTACTCCTATAAAATTAGAGGTGAATAAGATGAGGACAAGCTGTGGGAATGGTTAAAGAAAGTTAGTTTAAATTTTTTTTCTGAGACAAGTTGACATTTGTTTGGACTAAACCATGACCACTTAATGTCTGGAATGTTGGATGTTTTTTTTAACTCCAAATTTTGTTAAAGACAATCCTGACATTGATTTGAGAATTGAAGATGGTATTTAGGCTGATTTTCAGAAGGGGTCTGTGTCCCAGCCATCTTGGAAGAACTTCAACAAAGGGTTTCTCATTAGTTCAGACCTCCAACATGGCCGACGTTCTTTTGTAAATCAGGCTAGATGRTATTTTGAAGGAAGACTGATATAAGCTTATGGCTTCTGGTAACATTTATTGATCAAGTTGCTTTTGTAAGATTGTCACATCACTGCAAACATTCAGGGTAATAAATATTCTTGACAACAACTTGGCAATCATAAGAACATCACTTAATTAGTAATACTAGGTTAATCAATACCTAAAACAGATATATTGCTGGTTTTCAGGTTACAGCAGCCATCTTGGAGGAACTTCAACAAAGGATTTCTCATTAATTCATACATCCAACATGGCCGCCAGTCTTTTGTTGTTTGAATCTCATGGAAAAGATTGAAAACCAGCAATACAGGTAAGGAATCATCAGTAAGATAAATCATAATTCAAAGGATATTGTCTGAAGGAAGTTGTTCTTCAACAAATGGCCATTTGAAGAAGGTTCTAACACTATCTGATTTCCTGAAAACAAAAAACAAAAAAAAAATGATACTTTGCTTGTTATCTTCCATATTTTATTCTTCCATGACAGCTCCTTTGCCTTGTGTCTCATGGTGTTGTGCAGGAATGAAAGCAATGGTATTCACACACATTGGAGTAATGAGGATATGGCCAACATTGTATTATCACGGTAAGTTATCATCAAGTATTTCAAAAAAACATTATTGGAAGAACAGCAAACAGCCAGCATTTTTTTAGCTGCTGGAAAAACCCTGAAGGGAACCCTAAGTACTACTGAGTTACTCTGGCCCATATTTACTCTTCTTGGAATGCTATTTGTTGAACTAAAATTACATGACCGAAAGGAATTATAGTTTACAAAATTTCACTTGTTAGGTTCACCTTGTGTGAACATGGAAACTTAAATAGAGTACAAATATATATCATATATTATATCTTACAGTAAAAATAGGTTATTATTTCCCATCAATCTGCAAAACCCTTTCTTTAAAAAGGCAATATACAAATAATAATTATATTGTTATATAATATTTATTTATAATGATCAATTATTAATTCCAGATACCTTGTCCATATATATTGGTAAAAACACCAAAGCACTCCAAGATGTAGAACAAGAAGGAAAATGTGAAAGTATCTATTTAGAAAAACCCATTCTGGTAGAAACCTCCAATTCACAGTCCACTGGAAGAGGAACTGACGACCAAGGTTGAACGACATGATAAGGTAGGCCATCGGGTGATGCAGTAGAAACGGAAGTCCTAGAATAACCTGGAAAAAAAACAATTCATAAAGTGATTTTTTGTCCAGCAAGTTGATAAGAACAAAGGAAAACAATGAAAATAATATGCCCCACCCCACCCCTCTTGATTCTCCACTGCAATGACTCAGACCACTGTATACGCTCTAAACAAAAGTTACAGTAAACCTTATATGCTCCAATAACTTCCTTAGTTATTTTGATGTGATCGTTAAAGATTACTGGTAATACTATCATGATAGAGGCACTTGGGGCATTTGTTTACATTGAGAACAATCTGCAAATCCACCACTAAAAATATCCATAAATAAATAAAATAAATAAATYGACTTTATTTTACGAGGGTAACACGTGACAGTAAAGAACTGATGAACTTGTGGCCCTCACACTCACACTCACTACCTCTACATTAATTATTTTAGCACACAACACTCCTCACATGTTGATTTTTACATGTACATGTAGTCCAAAAATCTGCCAATCTAAAATATTAACCATGTCCCCCTCTACATGGAGTTGGTATCAAGTTCTCTGAACCTATTGTTTTCTTTTGTTCTTTACCAACAACTACAAACTATATAGAGTCATTTTCATTGCATGTATGCACAAAATAAAATGACAGAATAACAACATTATATGAACCTGTATTATTGCACATATTGCTAGTCTTGGGATAGAACACCATACACCAAATGTCATTAAAAGAACCAGTAGAAGTCCAGGTGCAAAKAGTAGAATATTCATCTTAATACTAACACCAAGGCTGTGGAACAATCACAACCAATTAACTTACAAAAAGAGTTAGAGATTCACTTTAAAAAATGTCTCAAACATTGTCTAGTAACGTTTGCAATCATCAATGAATGTGTCTTAGACTTGTTACACATTAGACCACATTTCCCTAATAAAAAAGGGCGGGGRYCCTYGTCRTCCCTTTTAGGGTTTGAGATCAGTGTTTTGGTCCCKCTTAGRGTGATAATGWYRAGAATTCCYACCAACTGAGTTTTGTGGTCCCTTTTAGGGTATACGACAACCCTAAGCCATCATCATATATTTGTATATGACAACGTCGTCATAAACTCAATACGAGCCAACGGCATTTGATGCTTGTGCAAAAACACAAATAAAATCGGGAAACCAAAACAAAATGACCTTGGTCCCTCTAAGGGGTGAAATTTCAGCACAGGCACGCCCATCATTTCACAATACAGGTCACTTTTAGGGTCCATTTTCRGAATTTCAAATGAGGACCCCCACCCTTTGTTATTAGGGAGTCCCCCTCCCCCCTTCCTCCCCCCTTCCCTCCCAACCAGGCATCTCAGACTAGTTTAACACATTAGTCATTGCAATAATGACTTACCTAAAGAACAGACAACCTACATTCCACTGTTTGCAAACAAAGCACAGCACAGCAATGTATAAAAAGAACATCGCTACAGGATCATTGAATAGACGTAGTATATAGATTGAATGTATACGATATGAACCACAGCACATGAAGAAAAAGGCATAAGGTGGCACCTAAAAGAAAACGAAAACCAAACATTAATGTTAGAGTGGTTTTTATAAACCTATGAATGCACTTTAGCGTATTAAACGTTATTACTCAGTTCATTTTCCACGTTTTTCTTGTCTTTTGGTATACATCAGACATTATTTACACTTTTATCAGTACAGTTTGTTTCAGGGTTTAATATAAAGACCACAATATCATAGGTTTTACAATTGTAAAAATTACAAAATAATATTAATATACATTTTCCTTATTTTTACCAAAAAAAAGAAAATATCTAGTTTTAAAAAGCTGTGCAAAGGACTGAAATTATAATCCATTTCTACTCTTTAGCACTTTAAGAGACAGACTGTTGATAGMAATTGACAGATGGAGAGATGGTGATTGACAGCAGTCAATCACTAATAAACGTCAGGTAGGCTAAAATCTTGAACAGGTAGGACAGTTCAAATTACCTTTGCAGTTTTTTGATATATAGTGAATATAACTACCAAGGACAGTAGGTATAAAGCTACAAAGATGTACTGTGCCATTATTATTTCTGTTCCTTTGTTGGTCAAGTAGTAGAGGCCACCAAATATGTACACAAAGCCTGCTGGGTAACTAAAAAAATTAATCAATTGATCAATGAGTACAATAAATTGATTTTAAATAGTCATTAATCAATGAGGGTATTGATGTTTAGGTATTATATTTCTTACACCAGTGGTCCAGTATCTCCTTTCAGTTCATAGTAGTTATAAGTTCCATTGATAACACCTTCAACCTCTTGCATATAAGCCTGCCAGTCAATTTCAGTGTCTAAAATGAACAGTTCAGCCATTATTTTTTGTAATATTATTTTATACCCAAAATAATGTTCTCTTTTGAGGGTATTAAATGGAGCATCCATGAAATTTAGAGGTGTTACAGATACCCATGAAACACTAGTTTTTAAAAATTGTTAGTGTTTGACAGGAATGTTACTCTATTTGAAACAAATAGAAACAATCAAAATACTACAATTTCATTTGATAAATCAAAAAATAATAGTTTCAAATAAAGGAGTAGAAGCCAAACAAACAACTGCAAAAACTTAACAGAGAATAAAGCAAATATGGAACCCAAATTATCCCATGATGCTTAGCTTGGGCAATCAATATTGTGATTACAGTGATTATGATGTTGATGATAATTAACAATATTTCTGTTAATACAAGGGAAATATTAATCTAACTGTCCTTTAGCCATATGCGAATATAATCATAATATGAAATAGAATAGAATAGAATTTCAATTTCAAAAAATCTTCATTTTAATCTTACATCTGATTTTCCACACGACAAGCAAATTGACAACCAACTCCGCGCAAAACAGCACCAAACCAATAATCCATGAATTTTTGGGTTCTAAAAACAAAGATTTAACCCATTCAACAGCTGTTTTCAAATCAAACTTTGTCTTGTCTTTCTTTGCTCTCTTCCTCGCGACGGCCATTATTCCGGAAATAAGCCGGAAGACGTCGTGTTTTTGTCGTGATAATTCGAAGCTACGATGAGAGCCCGAATGATGCCGAAGATATTCGAAGAGTTTTCGTGCAGTGAGCCCGCGTGGACAGGTGAGGTGAAGATCTACAAAACAACCAAGATGGCGATGGGAGGAGTAGTTTTACAACTCGCTGCACTACTTCAGCTCCTTCTAGTGATCTTGTGTGATGGGCAGGTTATGCTGCGATACCGTCAATGTACTTATTTTGGTAAGATTTTGATTTTAATCTTTTTTGATGTCGTAATCTTGAATATACCCTCGATTTGAGCGTATAAGAAGTTGCTATCCAGCTGTTAAATGTCGTTGTGAAAATGCACAATCAGTTCGTTATGTTAGCTTCTCTAAATATACAATTGAATTACTATAAATCATGTCAAGTAAAGATTGAATTTAGGATGGTTTTGTGTCCCAAAATAGGAAAAATCAAAGGCTTGTATGAATGAATGTTATTCAGATAACTTTAGTTCCACTGTGTTTGTAATTTAAAACGTCCGAACATACAATCACAGTTTGGACTTTGACTCTTGTCGATTGTTTACAATTATATATTATCAAACCAACAGCTAAAGCGCTACAAAGTTTCTGAAGCTGTGATCTTCATACTTAAGTTTGTGAATAATTTTGGAGTCATTTTCAGCATGAATCACTTCTCACTTGACAGACCTTATCTTTTTTATTGATATGTGTATTTGAAAGACATTATGCGCATCGGAAATGCAAGTAATTTCCCTCAATTTGACCTTTTAACTTGTGAAGGGGATTTCCCAGGTTAAAATAAGTAGGCTTAAGACAAAAGTAGAGTGTTCACATAAGTCTATGTTGAAATTTTGTTGTGGAGCATTCCTTGATAAACGGTTATAGTTTTATAAACTATTTTGATAACTGCTATTCCAGGTGCGGGTCGAACACCAAAGGAAGCCTACAGTCTGTCAAACTGCACTTGGTACAAAGAGCAATCTTGCTGTCGACATACAGAGGTGACATCAGTCTTCAGCGCGATGATGCCATTGGAAACTTCAAGCAAAAAGTGCCACAACCTCATGAATTACCTCATGTGCTACTTTTGCAGCCCAGAGCAAGAATTTTGGTACCGTTCAGACAGGCTTCACATCTGTTCATCTTATTGCAATGACATCTACAAAGAGTGCAGTGATGCCAAATATAGAGGAGAAACAATTGGGAGCAAATACAAAAATGGCCAGGAATTTTGTAATGCTCAATTATTCAAAGTTGTCAAGAGCCGCTTTGAAAGATGTTTTGAGTTTGATGACACTTTATTTGGTGCTGCTTCATTTGTTTGTGTGGAGAGATTCATGGTAGCAGCTTCCGTTTTTTTGACTTTTGCAATGAATTTTTGGTGAATCAGTTGGTATTATTTAAAGTCATTCAGCAACATTATATTGAAACAACCGCAAAGTCTTGTTAGCACAGCTTTGTTACAAACAAGTGGCATAGTCCAAAGTTTTGTGGTCACAACATGTAACATATAATATATCCCAGACTTTTCATTTGTAAWTTGGATGATAAGAAGAAAAGAAATTCTTTTAAGATCAATTGAATATAAATGTAACACCATCACTCTAGTCTCCTTCAAGATTCCTTGAAAGGTATCCATGACTTTGTATAAAAGCAATACAACCATTAAGAAAAGCAATTTTAAGCATCTTTCAAATCTACAGACAATGATTTACAGGTATCAATCATTGCATGCTAAATGGAACTCAACTTGTCTTGCTTCAAAGCAAAGGCGCAGCTACCTTTAAAGGGACATGTCAATGGATGACATGCGTGAGTAAACTTGAAAACAYTAGGCTAGTGTTTTCAAGTTTACGACTCCAAGTTGGYRCGASGCATGACAAAAAAAGTACTCGTAAACGTAAACAGATCTAGAATATTCTAAAGTGTGTCAAAACATTGATTTACCTCAAAGGTAATACTTTCAAAGTCCGTTAGAGGCAAAACTGTTACTGCGCATGTCATCCATTGACAGTGTCCCTTTRAGATGACAAAGGGAACAATGAAGACAATTTTGCAATTTTAGTTTTATTTCCTATATTTTTAATATCCAAATATTAATTTTTTTATGTTGCCATAAAAAACTCTGTATACAAGTATTTACTGGAGGTTTTATAGTGTAAATATATATATATATAATATATCTAGATGATGTGTATATCTTAAGAGATAATTTTTTCAAATCCATTGTATTAATGATTGTAAATAATATCWGTTAATAAAAATGATTAGAATGTGATCAGATATTGTGCAGTAAGTATTGTAGGATGTTAAAACTTCATTTTACAGCTCCAAGCACCATCTTGAAAGCAAGCCAAGAAAGTAAGAAGAGTCGAGTCTGCAGTGAYAGATACCCTTGTTCACACTTAAGACAATTATTCACAGGTCATCATTGCAAGCTCAACTGCTCTGATKCAAAGACTTGGTTACCTTTCAATATGGTGCCTGCAAGGTATCATGGGTACTTCAGTCTGTAAGAACTGTCAGACATAATTGTATCATAAACATTGGAATGAGCATAAGTGTGCTTTTACTAAATGCAAGYACAARMATAGCTTGAAATATGACCTGAATGCATATTATTTTTTGTASCTTTCTAATGTGAAATTGCAATGCCACAACATATCAGCTTCCGTTGCCATCAAATCTTTATTTTTRTAAAACTGATTTAAGCTTAATGCTTATACAGGGTTTTTTTCCTCCGTTGGGCTTCCTTTGTAAACGCAAGAGAAAAGATGCGCCCATTCTCCATGTTGCTCCATGCCAGGTCAAGCATCCTGAAAAAAGACAGGAAGCCCATGACCCAATGCAGGTTACCATCAGTACATGTGTGACAAATTTTCAGGAAGGGTATAACCGCATCTGTGCGCTCTACGTTGTAGTCTCTCGAATATTGCGGTCGCTCAAATATACACTTATTTCAAAAAAAAAAAAAAAAAAAGCGCTCTACGTTGTAGTCTCTCGAATATTGCGGTCGCTCAAATATACACTTATTTAAAACAAAAAACAAAAAAAAACGTCGGGGAGAACGGCGATTGTCGAATGGAGAATGCACGACCGAAAGGGACTATGGTTACACTTTTTGACATACAAAAATTTCAATTTTTTGGTTTACTTGGGTAAAAATGGAGACTAAATGGAGCCAATGATAATCACAGAATATCTTACGGTATAAATCAGTTATTATTTCCCATCCATTAGCAAAACCCATGGCTCCCTCCTTTCGGTTGTGCAATCGCCATTTGCCATTTTATCCGACAACCTTTTTTGAAGAAATAGATATATAAAACATATAGCAGATTAMTTTCAAAACAGTATGCTTACAAAACTTTGAGAGTTTGCCTGTTTGTCGTGCGAGGTTGCKTGATTGTTCGTGATTGTTCGTGACATTGATTCATGTCAATTCATAGTCACGCAAAAACTGCACGAACGCAAATAAGATATTAATAATGATAATTAATATTCCTTAATGATRGTGATAATAGGACGAAGGATTATAGTGACGATGATGGCCAAAAAAATTCAAAATCTACCTCCTAAGTATAGGCGATCACGGAGCGCATTTTATTAACGTAACAGGTGTCTTGCGTATATAATAGATTCGTTTGTCACCTACCGTTAACAAAACGTCCGCACGTGTGTGCGCACTCGTGCTTTACGGTGCGCGCCATGACGTGCGCGTGTTTTTTTCCCGTAAAAATCGGTTGTTTACGTATATGTTTTATAAACAAATTAATAGCAAAATTGATTTCAAAATAATAAAGATATGCAAMGTGAAAAATTCAAAAGTGCTAATTTGAAGTCTAAACTTTACAAAGTTCCCTCGTTCCAAGAATTAAAGCACGAGTAGTGTTTCTTTAGTTCTTTTATTCGAGCGCAGACTTTTCTGTGTTGTTTTTTTTATATTTTCTTCTGCTTATCAATAAGTTCAATTTCATTTGTACATTAATTCCTTTTTATTTGCATGGTCAGATAACGTGAGGCCAAATTACTATCGGCAAAACTCAAAGTGATAAGATCTGTCCTAGCTGTTAGCGGCACGAGTCCAGAATCTTATAAGACACTCATTTTAACTTACCTATCTCTGAACCCTATTTGCTTTAGAAGGCTTAAAAAATTATCGCAGAGAATTTTAGATTTTAACTCAAACGCGCTTCCGGACATCGGAGAAGCTCGCGCGCACTAGTGTTTAATTCTCCTGTGTTTGCGAAAGAAAAACATGCAAGGAGTCATTTGTTAAAAACTGTTTTTTGGGTTGTTGAAATTTGTGTTTAGTGTTTATAGTGTTTTTCATGTATTAGAATTATTATCTAGATCAAATATTATTATTGAAATGGGTAATCGAAGTGTAAACGATCCAACGGTGGTTTCTACTATATAAGGTTGTCAATCGAAGACTTGATCGATCGAAGACTTGATCAATCGAAGGTTTGATCGCGTGAAGAGGATTATCTCCCTAAAGGCGATAAATACGTGTTGAAATTGAAACCCTCTTCTCACCTCTTTTATTCAAAGATCATCATCTAGCTCAAGACTTAATTACACTCCTAACATATTAAAATTGTTTTAAAAATACCCAACACGAGAAGGGGTAATTAACGGCTTAAATTCACACAAAGGCAATTTCCTCGTGGAACTAAAGGATACTGAAATAACCCTTAAAATGCTGTAAGAACAAGGGGCTTTGAAGGTGGACTCGCTTTCTGGTTGAGTGAAATTGAGATACCCCCCTCTGGGGGCTAACCAGAAGCGCTTAAAGCCCCCCGCCGCGCGCAATTACAGCGGCGGTGATTGGCTCCTTTGCAAAAAAGATGTTCTAAACCGCTTAGTGAGCTTTATCACCAACAAGGACAATGCACCAAAATATATTGCGTCTAGAGTGAGGAGTGTCTTGCTGGGCTCAATTCCATATTTACGAGTTCCAAACTCAAAGTCTTTCCATTTTTTCAAAGGTGTGATGTTCGTGTTAACTCCTAAGGACCCTGCCATCCCTCTCGCTTGTCCAAATAGCCATCTAACGATCTTTTAAAATGTCATCGGAACTCGCCGTTGTTGTTTATTGACATGTTTCTGTAGAGCAATATAATGAGTATGATCATAATATTTTGCTTGTAACTGCTAGACGCAACACCGTCGCTACGATCTTGTACAACAAGATGTAGACATGGTACCATGTACGTACCGATTAGTGGTGGCCAAATTTGAGCGATTTGATAAAGAAAATGAAAGAAAAATAAAAAATGGAATTCGAATTTTTGTCCTAGCCGGCTGCAAACTATTTTCATCTTATCAAAGCGTGCGGCACTTCAAAGGTTTTATTCCCAGCATGGAACAACTGTGGACTGTGCGATGAAAAATATCGCCCGCGGCAAAGGAATCGTAACTTTGTTTCTATAAGCTCATTACGTCTATGATCCTAAAATCGTGGCCAGTAATTATCGCTCTGAAAGTGTGCTCTTTTATAAGGGCCTTGAATAATCTTCCTGCGATCTCTATATAAAAAACTATGGAGAAAATCTGAAAAGGTTTCATCAATCCAGATAGGAAACCTAACAACGTTGGGAGTTTTAATATTAATGACATATCGAGATTGCCTGGGGTGATGTGATGAATATAAGTTAACAAGGCTTGAATAGAACCTATGTCAAGATGCCGGCCTTCACATGTTTCCTTGGCAATCTCGCTCTCTAGTAATTTAAAGCAAAGTTTAATTGTTTTGTTGGGCTCGGCGGGAGTACTGTTGAATCGAGCCGACGATGTGGCGATGCGTCCGTTATATTATCTTATGTTTGGGCGCAGAGAGAAACCCCAAACACAAGAAAATAACCCAACCCTAATCCTCTCCACATTGAATACCCTGGCCGTGTAGGTATAGAGTAACCTCTCGCGCGCTTTTACAGAAATGGTAACATTCGCTTATTCCAATAAACAATGTCTCCCTCTTTTCACATTTCTATTGTCTTTCTTATTGTATTAGTGGACATTGTTTCGGCTATCGCGGCGAGTCTGATGAATGTAAAAATAGAGCGGCTTATTTGAAAGGCTGATACTGAAAATTCTAGCACTAGCAGATGTCTGTCAAAATTTATTAAGCTCTAAGCTCCATGTATTGGTTTTTAGAAAAGGGAAGAACTCTGAGAATCCATGGCTATGGAAGTGCTTAGAATTTGAATTTTGTTTACTTTTACAAGTTCAATAGTTAAATTTATTTATATTTTTCGCAATAAAAAACGATAAAACAAATACAATGGCGATTCTATTCTAGACGTAAACATAATGGATTAGAATATGCTAATTTTAGAATGTTTCTCGCCATTTTCTTTTTTGTACATCGTGTACATCATCAGTGCTACATGAAGATTGCTTGTTTTTCCTTCCTGCATTACCTCACAAAAATAAACTGCTACTTTAAAACCCTGAAAGTCCGTTTTACGAATGGATTTTTACTTTTTTGATAGTATAAGCTCATGTTCTACTTTAGAACGGAGAAGAAACATAAGTAGAAGAAGAATTTTCCAGTTTTGCCTTCTTGAATAGTGCTTCCACGCGGTCTGAATGGCAACGTGCGAAAAAGATACGATCTAAACTGCGTCTTATAACATCAATTCCCTAGTCCAAATCATTTGAAGTGGTTGTTTTGAAACGGCTAACTGTTTATTTATATGTAAAAGTAAACAAAGACAGCCAAGTATCCGTTAACTCTTATTCTAAAACAATCAAACCCCTCTTCAATGTTGACATATCTTTCTACGCGCCTGTTCACCATCGCACTTGAGAGTCTTGGCAAGGCGTAATTGGCTTCGGCATGATTCTGAATGAATCAGAATTGCTGATGAAGACGCTTGAGTTATCGAAGCCGACGTTCGGACTGATACCAAGTAAGATAGTCTAATATCACAATAGCTTAAGTATGGCAGGGAAAGAAGGTATGAGTTCATAGGCTAATGTTCTGTAATCCGTTCAATAGACTTACGAATGTTTACCACAATTATAAGCTTAAGCATTAAGTGCTAAACTGTTTTCTTTTAAGCTTTCAAGAGGCTTAGCGGTATAATTTCTATAATATCAACTTCAAATCTTTTTCTGTAATTAGTGCTCGCTCAGCGTCACTGAAGCTGAGTGAATTCTTTCACGTTTGTCTATATAAACGAATCAAGTTACTGTGTTAGACATATATATGTGGCGCCATTAGCTTCTTTTTAGGGCTAAAGCAGGAAAAC